TTTGGCTCTATCACCCCTAAGGGAGAGCATCTCTTGACCAAGAAAAGTAATTTTATCAACAGGAAATGATCTAGAAGTAGAAACAGGCCTCCCCTGGGCTTAAAATGGACAGATGCTCCATTTAGAAACGCCTTTTTACTTTGCATATAATCTTTCATTTATAAGATGTATTGCCATTGTTCTGATTCATCTCTTGCCAATCCACACCAAAGGCAGAGAAAAATATTTCTCTCTTTATCTTTTTTCCACTATTCCATCCACTAGCACCTTCAAACTGGTGTATAACAAAATTCAACAACATCAAAACATATCAACAAAGCAGAAACAAAGCATCCTTTAAAATTAGGTCAAAAACAGCTTAATCACCAAAGGCCTGGCAAAACAATATGATACAGGGAAAGACACATCATAATGATATAAGTACATGGATTAAATTGAAACAGATGTACTGGTAGTATCGGGGGTGGGGTTGGAGAGTCTGGGAATGAAATAGGATTCTTATTTTAAATGGCAAGCCAATATTCCTTGAAATTATTCGTTCTCCCCTTTGTGTTAGGCCAGGAATCAACAGTAGTTGTAGTTTTGTGAACCTGAGAATATATATATGCTTAACTTCTAACTTAAAATCTCAGTCAAGAAAAATGGACTTTTTAGGATAGCACATTTAGCCTGGCATATTGGATGAACTGTAAATGAACTCTCTAGGTCAGTCTAATACAACTTAATGTTGGTCTACAATCTCCATTCTCACCAGGCAGCATGGCTTTTGGGATGAACTTTCTGAAGAGACTTTGGGTATTTCTACACTGACTACTTAACCCGAGGCTGATGCAGCATGGTGCACGCTGCCATCCCCTGGCCTCTCTTGAGGCAGGAGATAGTTCTGACTATCCAGCAGCACCAAATTTGATTTGGCACTGCTGGATGGCAATCTTTACCATCCCCTCCTGTTTCCTTTGGCACGCCAGCCAGGAGACATGGGATGACTTATGCCAGTTGCTCATCAGGACACCAGAGCAATGAGTATGAGTGGGGGAAGAGGAAGAATCACCTACTCTTCTCCTCTTCCCTTCCCTGATCAGCCCATTGCTCTAGACAGTGTTATCTCAGGTGAGGAGCAACCAATATGTTTCATGTCATCAACACTGCCTACTGTAATGAGGAGAACAGGAGGGGATCTGAATGCACTCCCATGTCCCATGTCAACCTAAGCCCAGGAAATATGGAACGACTGTGTAAATAGTTGTGGTCAGTTCCATCTCAGGACCATCTCAACTCTTTACAAGAGCCCAAAGTTATGGTTTGCTCTGAATGCTAGAGGCCATGTTAAGCAGCTTTGAACCAAATCAGCTCTGTACACCTTTTAGCTACCATTGAGCTGACCAGAATGCTGAATTAGAGGAAACCAAATTAGAAACCACAATCAAGCATGAACTAGATTCTTCCAGCCCAATCTGCATAATAGCATTACTACCTGACATAGTCCCTGGGGTTAAAAGGGGGTAAGAAATATTTGTCTGAATTTGACTACAGAAGTAAGAAATAATTGGAGTTAATTAATACAATTAATGCTCAGAGCACTGAACTCTTAAAATAATAATAAGTTATAATAGTGGTAATGCTAGCAGTGCATGTTCATTTTGATGAATATTTGGATTTTAAACCCTCACCTTCCTCCAATTATTTAGTAGTATATTTCTCTCCTACTCTTGTTCTATTGAAATCAGGGCAGAGCACGCTTCTGCTAGTGTTGATTTTAGTCTCACAACTGTGTCAAGCAGTTTGTGCTGATGAAGTGACCAATGTCACCCAATGTGCTTCATGGCTGATTTGGGATACGAATCTTGGTCAGCAGAAATAGATCATTTGATGCCATCATTTTCATATAATCAGATCTGGAAACCCTTCAAGTATTCCAGCAGAGCAAGCATTTTAACACTACCTTTGACTATATCACCTCTGCTAGACTCAGTACTGACCATTTATTATATTGTCAATGTTTAGCTTAGGTGACAAACAAGCAGCAAAACATTTTGACAGACCATCTTATTTAACAATTACATATATTTCTCTAAAAGGAAATGCTGATACTTCCACATTGCCTCATCTCTGTTTTTCATTAGCAAGCAGAAGAAATCTGATGCTTAATCACACCACTTGGAAAGGCAACTTGTTTTAAATAAAAGAGGAAATATATCCATTAAAATAAACTTGGAAGAAGTTTGTGCCATGCATTGTTGGTGCATGACATTTTCAAAGGCAGCTGTTTGGTTCCAAAAGATGACTGACAGGATTCCTTCTCAATTTACTTGACAAAATGTCAATTCAGGCTAAGATCAGTGGCCAAATTTCCAAACTGAATGCTAGACAGATGTGGCTACTTATGTCAGATACTTTTAGAATTCAAGTTTATTGGCAGATCTTTCAGAATATAAGGAAGTTTAGAGAATTATTATAATGCAATCTACTCATTTTAGAACATATAGATTTGAGTGGGAAAGAGCTAAGCATGTGCCGAACATTCCCAGTGAAGTAACTGAGACTTAAAGAGGCTTCAATAGATCATGGTTTCTTAGAGTATGTCTGGCTGAGTCCAGAGTTTGAAAAAAAAAGCATTTAGGACTACAACTGCTGAATCTCTCAAAAGTATTGTTTCGGGTGGCAGAAAGCCCAACTTCTCATGTTACTCAGGCCTTTCTGGAAAGGAAACTCATAAGAGTTGCTAGCGGAAATTCTGGAGCCATCTTCCCCTCAATGTTTTACAAATATTTTGTAAAAGAGATTGATTATTATTGGGGGCTAGTGGAATGAAACATCTGTGGAAGTTTTAAGTAAAGGGGGGGGGGGGATCCAATGATGGGAAACTTTTCCAAAGTTGAAGAGTTAATAAGAGCTGCTCCCATATGGAATGGGCATATTGGAAAGATGCATGAAAAATGACTCATGCCCTCTTTTAGACATAGCTATGAGCAAATAAAGTTTTTGTAGATTGAAAAGTTTGGAATGGCAGGAAATAGCTGCAGTTTTTTGTGTGGATTGTCTCCAACAGCTTTGAAAGTATTGTGGCTTTCATTTGTAATAGATGGACTCTAAATCCTCAGTACTTTATGCATGTATATAAATAAAGATCAATCATTGGTTCAAAACATAATGACAAGGGAATTTACTTAGAAAAATTTGGTAATCCAGACAAAGCCACATGGGTAACAATCAAGAATATCACCCCATCCTTCACACTAATGGTAAAAGGTGTGGCTCCTATCCGTAATTTAACTATTCTGTCTTGAACCTAGATCTGGAAATGTAAAAAAAAGTCTTCATTCTCTTAAATTTCGACACTTCAAAACATCTTTTTTTCTTTTTTTTGTTGCTGTTGTAAAAATTAGATTTCACAGAAAGCATTGTTTTTACACAAACACATAAGGAATCCACCGATAGGAAATTGTACTCTTTCATCAAACATGATATTCAATGAAAAGTCCCAAATGAAAAATATCCCTAGAAATGTACAAAATTGCTCATAATGTATAAGGAGTATGGGTATTTCGATTTCTTCACTCCTGGGTGAGGAACTAAATTAAGCAAACTTTCAGAAATACTAGGTATAATAGAGGTTTATAGGCTCTGTGATGACAGCCATCATAAAAGTTCCCTCCTCCATTTAAACTTTGCCCTTTTTTCCTTATACTTATCTCTAATGCCATTTCTCTTACTTTGTTTAAACCTCTCCTAAGAAGTTAATTTTTCAATGAAATCTCCAGCATAACTCACTTGTTCTTATACCCTTTTATATAGCGTGATCCCTGTATCTGAAGGGGATACCATCCTGAACTTACCATAAAATAGGATACCATGGATAAAAGGAAATCCTACTGAAATGAATGACTTCTGATGGATGATAACAATGTGTTGTCCTGGATACCTAGAAAATTCCTTCCTTCTCTAGGACCTTGCTGTGTCCTCTAGAGCAGGCATCCTCAAACTGCGGCCCTCCAGCTGCTTGGGCATCCAACTCCCAGAAGCCCTAATGAGATTGTTCAATTGTCAGGAATTCTGGGAGTTGAAGGCCCAAACAGCTGGAGGGCTGCAGTTTGAGGATGCCTGCTCTAGAGCAATTCTATGGTAATGTCCAGCATATGTCTACCATAGGGTTATCAGGAGAAAAGTCTTGATAAGACATACTTTGTTGGATGTGGGTAGGTGAAACTGCAGCTACAAGGGGTTGCACCATAATTTAGCTATTTAAAAGCTTATAGCTTTGTAACTAAAACAACTGAATAGTTGTTTCTTGTTTATCCATACTCCGTTTCTCTTTTCTTGATCAAATGTTTTCTTTATGTGGACTTTAAGACTATAAGCTCCTTGGAACTGGGACCAAAGAAAGATAACAATGATTTGGGCTGTAAACACAGGAGAATTAAGACAGTTGAATTTTACAAGTAAAATATGACTGCAAGATCAGCTTGAGATGGGAGCAATCAGACATAGGCAAAATTATTATTTTAAAAAATTATTTTTAAAAACTGGACTATAACTCCAGACTTCCCAGTTAACATGGTGGGAATTTTAAAATAGCTCTTCTAAACTATGCAACAGATATATCATAAGTGATATGACTATATCGCAAATCTGCTCTCTTCCCTCTATTAGACTTTTCAGACAGATTTCAATAGCGCATTTCTTTGTTCTGTACAAATTTTTCATGCATTCCATCCACAATCTGAAAGCTCAACAAAGTTAAGATTCCATAGAACAGTGGTTCTCAATCTGTGGGTCCCCAGATGTTTTGGCTTCAACTCCCAGAAATCCTAACAGCTGGTAAGCTGGCTGGGAGTTGTAGGCTAAAACACCTGGGGACCCACAGGTTGAGAACCACTGGCATAGAGGGTGCAAACAAAATAACATGAAAAAAATTAAAAGGCATAGGTAAAAAAGGCAAATGAATCAGTTCAATCTTTTTCTTTCAAAAATAGCATTTTAATTACAAATCTGTTCCTTACCTTGGCAAAATTCAAAGTTCCCTTTTTTCCGGCAGTCACCTATTACTAAACTCAGTGCTCTCCAAGTGTTTCTTTTGACAGATATCATTCTCCACCAATCGTCCTGCTAATTTCCTCTCTCCTTTTCTGACTGGGACAGATATTACGTTCACCAGCCCAGAGATCAATCTTTTCTATTGACAACAACAAAAGGAAAAAAAACAAAAACGCACATATCACAGCCGGGTTGAAGCACAAAGCCCGTCTATTTACATAATAATATTAGATTCTTCTTTATTGAAAAGCAGCAGAAGCAGTAATTATAATCCTATAGCCAATACTTTTATCATTTTGTCAGTATTTTATTATTACAATCTATATCCAATTGCATCATTGTGCTATACAGCAATCCCACGCTACTGTGCATTTGCAAGAGAGTTACCTATATCTTCATATCCATGAATTCAATATCCACTTTCTAAGAAATCTCCCCCAGAACTGTTTGTGGGTGTCTCTGGGTCTTTCAGTGCTATTCTATGGTATGTTTCCAGAACAAGTATAATATTAACAATAATAATAATAATAATAATAATAATAATAATAATAATAATGTTTTACTATTATCCATTCAGTGTTTCAGATATCCATGGGCGGTCCTGGAATGAATTCCCCATGAATACAGGGAGTCATGCTGTACTTTTTATTGTGGGAATCATTGTATAAACTGTGTACAATCTCTCATATATCGGCTTTGTACAACTGTTTGCACGAAGATGTAATCCAGAACATCTGTGATACTAGATATTTTCACTTAGAATTAAGATGGATTTAGAGCTGCATTGTTTGTTTTCAGAATGGGGGAGAAGCTGAATACATTGGTCTTAATTATCTTACAGGTACATTGTCTTGCACCTGTAATAGTATTTGAATATATAGCTCTGTTTATCTGTATCAGTATGCAAAGGGAGCACGTGATACTAACTTGATGAAGTGTGTAGTATAAACTTTTGTAGACCATGACTACTTCATTTACATATATCTGATTAATAAACCCATTCTATGAAAGTTTATGTTACAGGCGTATATCTCAGTTAGTCTGAAAGGTAAAATAAAATCCTGTTGTTTTATACTTGGTTTAACTATTTATCTATCAAGGACAGTTTGATCTACACTGTTGGGCAGTAACACTTCAAGAATTTGGGAGGAGTGTGAAAGCGCTACCTATAAAGTATCTGACTAATGTTTATCCTCTCAAACTCAAAACCGTTTAGGTATCACAGTTCTTATGCAGTCTTAATTCAGAAAATGGACAGAATCTTAAACTTGTTGAATATAATCACATTCAAATAGTTTTTCAATGTGCTCATTATACAGTAAGTAATTTTTAAACAGATTTCTTGATCATGAACAACATTATTTCCCCATCCACATTTTGCCAACTGACACTATAAAAATATAAGTCTTTTTGGATTTTGGAGTATTTAAATATACATGAGATATCGTGGAGATGGGATGCAAGTTTAAACACAAAACTACAATTCATATAAATCTTAAATACATAGCCCGAAGGTAGTTTTGTGCAAAATACTTTTGATAATTTTGTGTATGAAACAAAATTTGTTTACATTGAACCACCAGAAAGCTAAAGTGTCACTATCTCCATCACCCATGGGGACAATTTTGGTTCATTTCAGATTTCTGGATAAGGAACAATCAACCTGTACCACAAATATTATTTTATTGGAAGACCTATCAAAGTAGTAACATCATACATATGCACATTTTACTTTTTATTTTATTTATATCACTCTTTATCCCAAAGTGGAACCCAAAGCAGCTTACACTGTAATTTCTAGCAAAACAGCTAAAACAGTATTTAGTACAACATCTTTTAAAATGTATTAAACAATCCAAATAAAGATTTAAATTATATTTAAAAATATTACAAATAGCACATCATTTTCCCTGGTGAGATAAATTCAGAATGCCTGTTTAACTTTGTCTTTGGGTGGGAGCACAGAAGAGATCGACAGAGCTTCTCATGGAATTGATTTTCACTGATTGGGAGCAGCCACTAAGTAGATTCTATAGTTCTAGGCCTGCACAACCTGTGACTCTCCAGGTGATTGGGACTCCAACTCCTAGAAGCCCTGGCCAGCTTGCACAATAGTCAGGAATTCTGGAAGCTGAATTCCAAAACACCGAGTATAGATACAGGGTTGTGCAGTTGCCTGATGAGGAACAGAGAAAATCCTCTCCTAAAGATCTGACAGCTCAGGAAGGCCAATATGGGGAAATAAGACTGTCTGGACCTGAGCTGTGTAGGATCATAACCAGAACTTTGAAATGTGCCTGAAAATGGGCCATTACCCAACAAAGCTTTTTCGGCAGGAGAGTTATACAATCCCTATAACTACCCCTGGCCAGCAATCTAACTACAGCATTTTGAACCTACTTACACTTATGAGCATTTTTCAAATCCAGCACCATAAAATGTGTGTTACAGTAATTCAAACAGGATATAATCAAGGCCTAAATTACTGTAATCAGATCTGACATCTCAAGGAACAGACATTGCTGGAGCACTAGTTTTAATTGTGGAAATACACACTTGTCCACCACCAAAACATGAGCTTCCAGGCTTAGGGCTGAGTCCAAGAGTATACTCAGGGGAAAGGTATCCAAACACAGGACTGGCTGAATCCCTACTTTATGATATGCTCATCAACTTCCTCTGTCGGTGATCCAGAAGCTCAAGTTGGTACAAAATGCAGCTGCTCGGCTTCTTGTGGGAATTCCGATGAGATGCCACATAACATCAATCTTACTACAACTGCATTGGTTACTAATTGAGCACCGGATCACTTTCAAAGTGATGGTACTCACCTTTAAGGCCTTGCATGGTCTGGGGCCGATGTACCTGAGGGACCGCCTCACCCCCTACCAACCCCAGAGATCCCTCCGTTCTGAGGACCAAGATCTATTGGAAATTCCCAGTGTCAAGACCTTGCGTCTAACAGCAACCAGACACAGAGCCTTTACAGTAGTGGCACCATCGCTCTGGAACACTCTGCCACCTGAAGTCCGTGCCTTGCGGGACTTATCAGCTTTCCGCAGGGCATGTAAGACGTATCTGTTTCGACAGGCTTTTGATTTTTAATATTGCTGTTTTTAAATTGTTTTAAATTGTGTTCGATTTTAGCCATTCTTGTAAGCCGCTCCGAGCCCCAGGGGAGTGGCAGCATATAAATTTGAATAATAAAGAAATAAAATAAAATAAATAAAACTGATTAGAAGCTCGCCCAGATTAAAAGCTGGACACTCTCAGTAGGCAGTTAATGTTGCACGACAATTGTGGAAAAATAAGGAATATCAGATAGAAGATAGAATGGAGTATCAAAGAAAAGACTGGCTAACCGATGAACAGAAGCAATACAATATACTCATGTATGAGACAACCTCATGTTTGGGAGCTAAAATTACAGATTTTGACATAAGCCAAATATAAGTCAAGGATAAAACCCAAAAAGGATATAAAGAATGAAGCAATTGATAACAATGCCAAAGAACTGGCCACTCCTGCAATTTTCCCAATCAGGCATTCAAAAAGGCGGTAAGAACTCTATGGTCAGTGCTTTTCTTAGGTTGTCTACTGAGACCTAAGCTCTTACCTTTTGCTGTTCTACTCAGAAAAAGTGATAAGAGTTAAGGTACAGTACTTACATTGACCCATGAATAAGCAGACCCAGGTTCTTTGGGTTGTTTTTTTTTTAAAAAACCTAATATTTCTATACTTTACGCAAGTATATATAGACCCTTGTTGTATATTATATTCTGTTCTATACCATTTTGTTGTAAGACCCCTTTGTATATTATAAGGAACAGATGAACATCTATTGTTATACAAGATCATATTTATTATGGTTTTTAAAGGTTTGTAATCAAATGCAGTTATATGCAGAGCAGTAATCTGAAATTTGTTGCAATGCACTGAAGTTTAATTTGATTGATTTACTGTATTTCTGTGCCAAGTAATGCATATTCTCCCTTGCTAAAGTATTTTACTCTAAGCTACTCAGAGAACTTTATGTCATTGTCAACCAATAAATAATGTAATAAATAATGTAAAGAATAAATAAAATGCCAATTTTCAAGCAGATCATAACTGCTGGATGCACTTGAAAAAAAATCTATTTCAACTATATTCCCTCAAAGATAAATGAATAGCTATTGTCTAATGAATTAAAGGACATTATTACATACAGTAAATAAAGGTAAAAATAAAAGCAGACATGTAAGGCATGACAATATTCTGCCTGGAGACTTCAGAAACAGCAAAAGTATAAACCAAATACAGTGGACATACTATACGCATAGGGGTTCAGTTCCAGGATCCCATGCAGATACAAAATAGTATCCATGCAAATGTGTACACAGGCACATGTCTTGTTCATGTTGCCATCATTTAGTAATATGGTGCACAGTGAGTTCAGAGCCTGTGGACCTGGAGGACTCACTGTATGGCCAGTCCCCAAGTTATGAACAAAATGGGTTCTGTAGGTTTGTTCTTAAGTTGAATTTCTATGGAAGTCAGAAAAGGTATATTTTTAAGTTTGACTCCAGCCACACACACACACACACACTTTGGATAGCATAGGGAAGAGTTAACAGTCCTCTGAAGATTGTTTGCTGTCTGTGCCCCTGTTCAGAATATTTCACCCCATGTTCTTTCCCTATGATAATTGGATTTTGGAAAATTTGGCTTGTTGTGGAAACAAGGATTGATGATAAAGCTTCAGTTGAGACACCTTTTCCTCATGAGAACTCTTGATGGGTAGATTTCGCTCACTTTCAGATGTCTCACTCCCGTTCTTATCTATGAATTGTTTGTAAATCAGATGTTTGTAACTTGGGGACTGCCTGTATTCTCAAATCTTATGTAGGGAAAGCGACATGTTTTTCCTGGTATCATATGAGATGTATGCCAATGTTTTCCTTCAAATGTATTTTTCTGGGGCAAATGAGCAGCATGTCATGGTAAAGAGTTTTTTCCCCATTACAAGAAATTTTCATAAATGCATACTCTATCAGTGCTACATTATGGACAGCTTCTTTTTATTACACTCCTCTACTAAGATAAATTCATATTAATTTGAAAGGAAATGAAACATATGTGTAAAATGGCAGGATCTGG